TGTTACAGGTGAACGAAAGATGATGAATAAGGTTGAGTTGCTGATGACAGGATATACAAGGCAGTTAAGAAAATGAACGAAGTGTTGAATCATAGAGTGAATCGAGATGATACAGCGCATTACGTATAGATGTTATAAGGACAGTGCGTTGGGACTATGCACAGTCGGCTGGGTTTCAAGCCGCCCTTTAATACGTTCGCTGATCTTCGATAACACTACTGCTCCGCTCAGCAGTATTATCGTCCCTACATCATCTCCATTAATTCTACATCTCGAACACAATCGTTACTGTGGTTTGAGTTCGGGTTGTTGAAGACAAAAGGCGATGCAGGACTGATGTTGTGGATCAAGATGGAAAAGTTTGACTTCGAATACAGGAGGAAGAGGATCGTTAGTCAGGGTCGCCAAATGTGACGATTTTTGATAGAAGGTATATTAGTACTGATGGTATTACACTTTATTCTATTCCTTCATATCATATAATCGCATCGTTTACATACATAACACACGCTTATATACGCAAGTAGAAGAAGAGAGGATGAAAAGAGAAGATAAGGCCAAGGAGAGAGTCGATATAGGAGAACAATAGGATAAGGACAGAAGCATAAGAATAGAAAAGTAAGGACAATGTATAATAGACGAGTGAGTGATATGACAAGGTTTAGTATCATGTATGAAATCCAATCAACCGGAATCGTTACAACATAGACATTGTTATTATCTTTTGAAATGTCAATATAAACTGAAAAAGTTAAATCTGATTCAATATGTTTATTTCTTGAAAAATCATCATAAGAGACTCTTACTCTATATGTATGCGAAAAAATTTTCTTTATCAAAATACTAATAAATCATACATTGTTCGATGCTGATTGGTAATATGAAGTTAATCTTTAATAAGTGTTTCTATGCTGAGAACAATGAGTTTTATCTTGCAATTCAAAGATTTTTTAAAGAAAACTTATAGTTTAGTCGTGGAACGATTGCACTAATGCTATATTGATATTATACATAGAGAAGCATTCTGTAGAAGTTTTGTCTAATTTGCAGCTGCAATTATACTGAACATATATTGCCATAAAAGTGCTCAATATTAAAGAATAATGACTTTTTTTTCTTCAAATTCCAAACAGATAAAAATGAAAGCTATTTTTCCAAAGTATACACCATATCACTATGGAAGACTTTACTGTAATTCTTTCCTATTTCAATTTTTTGTTCACAGTAAAAGCGTTGTCTAATCCTCGCTAGCAATATTTCATAACAATAAGAGTAACCTGAGACTTTTATGTTTTCAAATAAACTATAGGTCAGAGTACATGTTACAGAGATGTCCATTGTGGCAACAGTAGATTTCTAGTCGCAATTGATATCTCTCATATATTGCCTAATTAATATCATTAAAAAGTATACTTTCAATTTTTTATCTAATGTTTTCACAGTGGCAAATTATATATATCTCGTTATACTCTATGAAATACTTCCTTATTACATTTCTTGAGAATGAATTATAAAGAAATGTGTGTTTGAAAATAGAACGAATGAAAAAATCTCTCTATGATTAGCAACTATATCGTATTTCATATTTTATTTCTGCAAATATTACGTTAAATAGCTTAATGTTTTTATTTTCTAGCATTGGCAAGTTCCTTTAAGTCGTCGATTTCGTGCATTGAAACTTTGGTTTGTTATTCGTTCATTTGGTGTTGAAGGTTTACAAAAACATATTCGAAATGTAAGAAATAATTCTTTTATAAATAAATCACTTTATTTTTATTTTTTTTATTAAAGTCGATATTTAAATTTAATTTTATGTGTAATTATTTTGTTTTTTGTTTTCTCTCAAAAATAGAGTGTTCGAATGGGAATATTATTTGAATCTCTAGTTAAAAATGATGATCGTTTTGAATTACCAGTTGAACGACATCTTGGTTTAGTTGTTTTTCGATTAAAAGGTGATAATGAATTAACTGAACAATTATTAAAAGAAATAAATAGTACAGGACAAATTCATTGTGTACCAGCATCAATTAAAGGAAAATATATAATACGTTTTACAGTTACAGCAACATCAACAAATTCTGATGATATTAAACGTGATTGGAATATAATTCAAATAGCAACAACAAAAATTTTACGTCCATTAGCAAATTTATCACCACAAGAACGACGTAATAAAATAAAAAATCTTCATAGTGATTTTCGTATGTCACTTGTTCTATCTAATACACCACATAGTCCATGTTTAATAAATGGAAGTTTTGCTGCTATGCTTCCATTTAATACAAATAATATATATGCAATGACACATGAATTAAGTCAACGTAGTTTAAATAATTCTCTTTTACCAATATCAACACGAAGACGAACAAAAAATTATTCTGGTCAATCAACAATTAATAAACAAATAAGTATGGATGGTTGTTTAATAAATAGTGATCAACAAAAATATTTATTACCAATAACACCATCATCATTACCTATAAGTCGACAAGGAAGTTTAGATTCACGTATTGAAGAAATTTTAGAAAATAATTCTATGGATAATAAAAGTAATAATGAACTTTTATCAGTACCAACAAATAGTCAAACTGATTTAACTATAAATGTACCAAAAATTATTAAAGAATAAAAAAAAAAAATTGATTTTATTTTAGTTTTTTCCTTACAAATTCATAATAATGATAAATGTTTTGTTTTGTGTTTGTTAAGTGTCTATTTAAATAAATATTATTTTGATGAAAGACATTAAAAAAAAAAAAAAAAAAAGTCAACTATATATAAGATTTAAATAATTTATTTTTCAATGATTCAATGTTCAAAAATTCTTATGTTTTAAAACTTTCATGGACTCGATTTGTTTTAAAGATAAATAAATAATTAATAGTTATGATAGAAATAGATGTAACTGAATGGTATTATCTTTTTAAACTTTGTATTTAATAATTTATTTAAGTAATTTCATCCTTTAAAACTGTATATTCTTATCCAATCGATAAACAATAGTTCATGAATGAAATTAATATGTTTTATCTCTTTTTACTGTAGAGAAAAATCTAGACTATGAAATTTATCTAAATATTCCAATGAGAAGAATGATTATAAATTTGTCACAGTTGATTAATTTTTTTATGTATATTAGAAAGAAATAATCGATTTTTTTCTTGGATCATGCTTTTTAGACATATATCAAATTTGCATTGTTTCGGTTCGTTTACATTTTTTTTTTGTTTATACATTAGGGTATTTATCGTCGTCATTAACATTAATGTATAGATGTCAATAAATCAAGGTGTATTTGATCTTGGCAAGGAATAGGTTAAAAAAAAATTAGATAACAAAATTAAACGAATTCTTTGTATCTAGATATGTCAAATACGAGCATCTGAGAGTGATATGTGTTATAAAAACAATGTGGAGAAAGAAAATCAAATAATTTGCGATCGCTATATTCACTCTTTCCTTTTGTTTCACTTAGTTTGTTTTTGTAGCTATATAAATCTACGATTTCAACACTTTTCTTTTGTAGGCCACCAGCAACACTAAACATATCATCACCTGCGAAAAGTCGAGATTTGTACGCGACAAACTATTACAAATCTTGCACTAGCTAAAGTAATTTAGTATGGGATTTATCCTAAAAACTATGGTTAATTCATTAAGATATTTTTCCTTTCTCATATCCAGGTTCAAGAAAACGGCGCCGTAATTCATCATATCAGATATGGGAAGCGAAATCGAGAGAAAACGATTGCCACTTTTTTGCGATAAAAACATCCCGTCAAACGGCTTGACGGATTATGACGAAATAAGGTCAAAATGAATGTCCTAATTTGTTGTTTTATAGTCGTTTCAGGTCAGATAAGACGCCGTTTTTGACGGTCGGAATCATCGACCTAGGAAATCATTTCTCTTTATTTAGTTGTCTTTTCGAATGAACCAATAATAGTCGAACAAGATTTTTTTTCTCTTGCTCATTGTCGTTGACGAAAGAAGAAAAAGCTTTATTCAATTGCAATTACGGGACTCAATAGGTCAACTAAATAAGCAGAAAAGACTATTGTTGAAATTATGATTTTTATACGACAGATCACACACTTAGAAATAATGCAGTGTTTTTTGTTTTAGTCGAATAATACAAGTATCATTTGCGACATAGTCCGTCATCATTTGGGGTATTTTGCGTGTATTTCAAAGAGGAAAATATCCACAATATGATTTCATCAGAGCTGGGCAAGTACCAGTTTTCTCGAGTACTTTACCCAGCTCTGAATTTTATTACGTGTTCAATGAAAAAACGCTTGCTGGAATAGCTTTCCAGCGATTTTTATTTCTAGCTCGTGAGTACAATATATGAACAACTATTGAATAATGTTTTTTTTTTCTTTAGGTTAATATTGATATTCTTACTACACAAATAAGTAGGACTGGCTGTGATAATGAACAAGAAATAATCGATGTTTATAGGCGATTAAGAATTAAATTATATTGATCAAATACAATTTTTTGTCTATTTTAATATAAACCTTTTTCTTTTTCAGCATAGCTTTTGAACACTTTATATTTGACTTCTATTTTTTTTATGAGAAAAACTGTCCTTATTCCTTATGATGAAAGAAAAACTTTCATGGTTGGGTTAATCAGTTTCAATATTATTTTTTTGCATCATTCTTCAATTACTCTAAAAATAAAATAATATTAATTAACGCTTAATCATCCAATAGAAATTATAGATTTTTTCTTCTTGCGTATAAATATATTACTTAGTTAATAAGCGTGGAAATATTCATATAGAAATGTGAAGAAAAAAAAAAAAAAAGAGAAACAATATATAACTTAATGAAGTATTTCAATGTCTATTAATTAATAAAAAAAAAAAATTTAATTATTTTTCTTGTCACTTCCCAAAAAATGTTCATATAATAATAAATTTTTCAAACAAATAAATAATATATTTTTATTAAAAATTAAATAAAAGATATATATACATATTATATTCATCATAATAATAAAAGATTGTTTTTATATCCTTCAATTTTATTATTCATCCATTCAACTTCAGGATCATCTAATTTTATTGCTGTTGCTATTACACTAATAAGCATTAAAGAAAACATCAAACCAATAATACTATAAAATATAATAGCTAATGACAAAGCTAATCTTCTTAATCTTTGTACTAAAACAGTACGTTTACGTTTTAAATTTAAAACTTCATTAACTTCACTTAAAAATTCCCAAAAAGGTGTTCCTTGTTGTACTTCTTGTTTACTAAAATAATAAAATAAATTTTGTAATAATAATGGTTCTTCACCAAGACGATCATAAATAAGTGCATCATTAGGACTAACATGACTTATATCAAATGTTTTTCTTCTTCCACTATCATTAGATAATGAAAATTCTTTAATTATATGAAAACCTTTTTCTTTATCAACATTTTTTATTTCATCTTGTGCACGTTTTAATTCTCGTATCATTTGAAAACCTAAATATAAATCTGGTAATCGACCTTCTTTTTCAAGGTTATTAAAACCCATAAAACGTATACGATGTAAATTTTGACGTACAATTAACCAACGTGAATTTGGTCGAAGAGAATGTGCTGTTAATGGTGCTTGATAGTCATCTTTAGTTAAAATAATACTTTCTTTTCGAAGAGGACTTGATCCATCAGATGTTTTAAAAGATTCTTTATTATCATATTTTTCAAATGGATTATCGATTACATGAATTTCATGTTCTTGTTTTCGATTATTTAGAATACGTATACGACGAGACTGAGCCATTTACCTATATTTATAAAAGGTCAATAAATAAATATATATGACATTTGTTCAAATAAAAATCAAAATAAAATTTAAATAGTGATTAAGGTAGAGTTGAGAGATTTTATTCAAGTATATTTTATTGTTATATAAATTAGAATAGAACTATTTCTTAATATTATAATACACTCAATAAGTTCTATGTAAGGATTTTTGTTAGATATTTAAGCATATTAAAAATTTACTTTTTCTTTTGATAGAATTTATCTCGAATTTATTTCAATTAAATAATAATTTAATAGAAACTATAGAATCTATCAGAAATGTTTTCATCAATATTTATCAATTGTTATCAAACTAATCAATTGTGATTAGTTGCAAGGATAACAGCTAAATTAAAGCGATGATATTCTATGAGTTTACCTGTATACTTGAGAATTTATATTTAGCCGTAGATTATAATGAACAATAAGACCAATGAAGATGTGTATATGATCGTGAATAAAAATGGTTACAACTGATAGATTGTTAGATATGATAGCAATGCGCCTCTATAAACTCAAGGTAGACATACTATCCTTTATTACATATATATATATATATGTTAGGCAAATAAATGTTTCATATATCGAATCATTACTATGCGTTAAACAAGAAAAGAAAAAAAAATTGAAAGAAAGAAAGAGAAAGAAATATTATTCACGAATGAATAAATAGTTAACACAAATTATATGTAAAACCTGAAGAATGTATTTGAGAGAAAAAAAATGATGTGATTGTATAAAGGACCTTTTTAATAGATATTTGTTATTTCTTTTTTTCTTTGCCTTTTGTTCTTTTTATTCAATTGGATGTCATAGGATAGTCAACAATCATTAGAAAGAGAATGGATGAAATTTGTAAGGAAAAGAAATAAAGGTCATATGTTTTTTTTTTTTCTTCATTTTACTAAAATTATATTAACAAAATCATGACATCATTTTTTGAATATAATGACAGACACATAATCACAATCGAATGTAAGTAAATCAATGATGACAAAAAAAAAATGCTTCGAAATATTTTTCAATTTGAATGTAATGATATAAGTACATTGAAAGGATATATAAGGTCAAGAACAATGTCAATCACAAATCTATTTTGATATGATTAATGCTTATTTTTTCCAATGATCAATTATAAATTTATACGAATATTTAACATATAGTCACAAGTCACAGCATTTATCGAGATCTTAGTGAAAAGAGTCGTTCAATTTAATGATAAAATTCTGAAAATATTCATTTATTAAAATGTTAGGCATGCATTGAAAAATTGAATAAATCGTTTTCTATTGACATAATTCTTTTTAGAACTTTCTAACATCTAAATATTACTTTTTACGAATTAAACAAATAGAAATTCAATGTTCTTCAAAGAAATAGCAAGTTTCGATATGTTATTAAAGACGATCGGATTATATTTCTAGTATAAATTACAAAGTAGTATATCAAGGCAAGTAATCTTTATATATCTTAGGTATAAATCATTTTTCAAATATCATACGCATATGTTTTACATTTTGACATCGATAAACACATATACGACCAAAAATTCACTGTGATTATTAAATTTAAACAAGATTCAAAAAATGTACTACTTCAAAAATTTAATGATTATATGAAGCATTAGATGTGAATAGTTTTCATATGATTATATTCTCATATCAAAGTTGTGAATACTTTTGAAACTCGAACTAGAAACAAACCATCGATAAATCGTTCGCAGTGTTTTATCCAGGATTTTTTCTCCGGAGGGACGATTTGAATTTCCGAGGGGGCAAACTCGATTTTCAGGGGCGCCGCCCCCCCCCCCCTCGCGGGTACCCCTCTGGATAAACCACTGATCGTTCGGTGTAATGCGCTTGATACTAACAACAATATGATGTAGGAAAATAATCTTTATAATCATTGTATATTGTAGAGGAACTACAACTTAATCAAATTGACTACACTAAAAGTACAAAGAGAGAAGAAAACTCTAAAACTGATTGAAGATGATATTCCGCTTCAATTAAATGATATTGACGAGATATTTTTGAAATGAAAATTAGTTTAGTAAAATATTAGATATTATTATTCTGTAAAAAAAACTCGTTGTTATTCGAATGTTAACATATGATATCAAATCTTAAAAATTATCCTCCTATTCGATACGATTTTATTGATTCAAACGACAATTGACAAAACAGTCGATCGACATACTTCAGTCATTGTAATATTCTTTATGATTTAGTATTACATGCTATTCATCTATATTCTAATGTAAAGAATTTTGATATGAAATATGTTCATATTGATCTCTTTCTATTATTTAAATGATTATCGGCTGATTTTTTTTATTCTAAGCATTTTTATTGTTGCTTTCAAAATAAATAATACACTACCGATTATAAAATAATTGAACGAATTAGTCTATAATCAAATACATCGGAACATGAAAATCAAATGAAAAAAAAAATGATGTAATATGACTAATAACTTTCAATTATCCTACAATCATAATATGGAAATGGAAAATTAATGTATCCAAAATTTATATATATGAAAATGAAACAATATATGAAGTGAAACTAGTATTTCTAGAATGATACAAAAAAAATATTATACTTATTCAGGAACTTTGTAGCCGATGTAAAACTGAATCAAAAATGTATCGTACATTTGAAAGTTTATTTATTCGAAAAAATCATCGAGATAAATATGAACATCATAACACAAGACATGTACATACTTTTTAACTGCATAAAAACAATACAAGATATTTAGTAACATGTTGAAACGATTGTCGTGCGTACCTTGAATTTTATTAATCACTCCGTCTGATTAAATTCATTAGCCGAATGAAGACCTGTCATGGTATTTTTACTTTATATCTTTAATTTTCGAATTAAAGTTATCAATTTCAAATTTACATTCACTTCCTACGTATTAGCGAAAACTCCATGAATCTTACACTTCTTAATCAAAAGCTTTTTTACATATTAGATATACAATTTCGTAAAACGCATTGCGTTCTATATTGTCACATATGAGTCATACTTATTAAATAAATAATTATAGAAGAAAATTCATATAATACTTCACGGATAGGAAACAAATCGTACTTTGTGAATAGTGCGTGACACATAATCAAGGTTATGTTCATAAATTTTGAAGGTATTTATAAACTGAACTGATACTTTGGATTCGGAAGTTTCTAATGGCTAGTATTTATTTGAGCAATAAGAAAAACTATCTTTGAGCAATTTTATAATACTAAATGTGCAATAATTAATTCATTAAATAGCAGTAGTAATTTCATATTTTAGCAACAAGAATAAGGAAAAGTAAGATATTTTTATTTATGATTGACAATAAGAAAAAAAGAAAAAATTAATATATTATTGTGTCAATAAAGCTTTTTTTTTTGCTTCAACTGGTCTTCCTCCTTTTCTTTTAGTATCAATATCCACATCTTTTGCCTCTCGTGAGAGTTTGCATTCTCACCCTCACTCTGTTATCAAGAGACTAGTTTCATATCATTGTCACTTTCATTATCAGAAATATACTGCGTTACGCGTTGTGATTGAACTATTTATATAAATTATATATTTTATTTTACATGATTGAAAAATATGGTTTGTATAAATAAATTCTTAACATAAGAGTTTTCCCATTCACTGTATTAAAATTGTCCTATTGATCAACTTGAAAATTTCCTTATGATTATCTTATACTATATAAGGAATTTCCTTAACACTTTTGATATTTATGTAATATATATATCAATGTTCTCTTCGATGAGAGATCAGATATTAAATTCTATTTTTTCTCATATACCACATTTCAAGTGTGTACGAAATAAATCGAACTCACGTAAACGCATAACAGTATAAACCATACAATTTATATAAATGAATTCATATTGCCTTTTTTATGTGAAACTTATCTTTAATTTAAATAAACTTTTTGCTTATTCAGTATAGTTATTGCTGATTCACTATAATTATTGCTCATTCAATATAATTATTGCTGAATCTAATTATCCCTGATTTCAATTATTTTATTGCTCAATTAAATATAAATCGTTTTTAACCATGAACTTTTATTTTTAATCATAAAAATTATCCATTGACATCGATTGATCTAATGAAAATTGAAAAAAATACAACATCCATACAATTGAAGACTTTATTAACCATAAATGGACGACTTCGTCTTTGAAGATACAACGAGAAAATGGTAGACGGACGCGTCGAATTGTAAATTTCTTCTTTCTATGTTCGTTCTTTTATTGTCAATGGAATGGAGTAACTAGAAAAATTTAGAACTATACCTGCTCATCTTTGATATTGAACACATAGACTGATTAATTTCGGATTATGTTTTTGTGAAACGATTTTTTCAAGTTACATAATTCTTTAGTGACACTTCTAAATTGTATATGTTTATTCATGTTAAATTTCAAAACATTGAACAAAAAGTTCTCATTGTTTGTTTTTTTAAAGTACATAATGATAAAAGCAAAAAAAAGAAAGAAAGATAGATATATTGTTTTCTAAATCTAATAAAAACGGAATACGAATTCAGAGTTTTGAAAACTTTTAATTTTCTCGAAAATTAATTTATGAAAAAATATTGTAATATTTTTTTTGTATAGACTATTATATTTAACTCTTTGGGGACGGAAAGCACATATGTGTGCTTTATATAGTACAGTAACCACGTCCCCAAAGGATTAACAGTTTACAAATTATTTTGCATCATTTGTTTATATTTATTCTTTACAACTTCTTGATCACTAAATTGTATTGAATGATCAGCTAATATTTGTGTTGATTCATGTCCTTTACCAGCAATTATTATTAAATCGTTTCTATTTTTAGCTAAATTCATTGCTAAATGTATAGCTTTTTCTCGATCTAATTCAATATATAATCGATTATTATCAATTTTTTGTTGAATTCCAGATAGAATATCATCAATAATTGATTGTGGATTTTCTTGACGAGGATTATCTGATGTTATTATTATAATATCAGCATTTTCTTCAGCTACATGTCCCATTAATGGTCTTTTTAATTGATCTTTATTTCCACCACAACCAAATACAATAATTAATCGACTATTTTTATTAAATTCTACTAACCATTGTCGTCCATTTTTCATTGTTCTTTCTAATGCATCTGATGTATGTGCATAATCAACTACAACTGAAAATGGTTTACAACATATAATAAATTCAAATCGACCTTTAACAGTTTCAAATTTTTCTAATGATTGAATAATTTGATCTAATGTTAATAAATGTGAATATGTTGTTAAACATGTAGCTATACATGCAAGTGAATTATAAACATTATATTCACCAAATATATTTAAATGAACATGTCGTGTTTCACCTGATGGTATTGTAATTATATAATTAATACCATTAAGAGAATATTTAATATTAGAAGCTAGAAATGAATTTTGATTTTTTTTCAATAGACCATATGTATAAATTTTAGTATTTTTTGAACATATATTAATAAAATATTCATATGATGGATCATCATGATTTATAATAGCTATTGATGATGAAGATTTTGATAAATATTTTGAAAATAATAATAATTTTGATTGTAAATAATTTTCCATTGTTTGATGAAAATTAAGATGATCTTGTGTAAAATTTGTAAGAATACCAACAGTAAAATCACATCCATTAATACGATCTAATATTAATGAATGTGAACTAACTTCTATTACAATATTTTCTATATGATATTTATTTGTCATATCATTTAATATTGTTTGTAATAACCATGCATTTGGTGTTGTATAATCTGTATTAATATAATCATTTATATTATTCTCATCACTATGATATCTATAACCAAGTGTACCTATTAAACCGACTGTTAATTTAGCATCTAATAAAACTTTTTCAATCATATGTGTTGTTGTTGTTTTACCATTTGTACCTGTTACACCTATCATTTGATGAATTAAACGTCGAGGATAATTGTAATAACGATTACATAATTGACCAAATATTATATTTGTTGTCGTTATTATTTTTAAAACTTTAAATACAGGAAATATTGCTAATTCTAATAAATTTATTAATAAACAATCATTAACAACTAAAGCAGATAATGAAGAATTTAATAAAATATTTATAGTAGAATGATCTAATATTATTTCAGTTCCATTTATTTCATTCAAAGTTGGCATAATAAACATTAAACCATTATCATTTTGTTCATTTGTTTGTTTAAGACATTTGAATGATTGTGTAATTAAACTAATGGAATGTTCATAATATCTTTCTAATGTAGATGGATTAATACATATCAAATTCTCAATACCATCAATTAATTCTTTTAATTTCATCTTAACTTATAATTAATATTTATCAAATGTCGATTTACTCTGTTTCTAAACTGAAAAACTTTAAAATAGAATCTTAGAAATTATTAAAGTGGAATAATCAAGATTTTAGATACAGATCGATTCTAGGCATAAATATTGACTGTATAATTGTCAATATTTATGAATTTTGATTGTAAAACTTTACTCGCGTAAAAACATTATGATAAGACTTATTTCTAGAAAATATTTTTAACAATAGATATGTAAGTAAAATGTCGTCCTTTACCTTTATGATGAAATACACATGACAACGTCAATAAATCATATAGCAAAAAATGATTTATAACAAGTTTCACAGTTTACTTCACAAATTGTTTCTTCAAGGTTGGTAAAAATGTATCATGAAGTTCGATAACATCACCTTCTCAGGTAATCTAAATGCATATTACCAATTTATTTCTATCGATTTTTTTCATCTATTTTTTTAAATGCGTAGATAATATTTAAGTATGTTTGTACGAGAACGAAAAGAGAAAGAGATAGATGTTCTTTGAAATATGATATATTGAAGCACATTACCTTTTTAGTTTCATATGATAGGAGTATTGTAAAATGTACATTGATGTTTTTTCGAAAGATAAATTATTATGACATTGTTTGCAAAATTTTTTTTGTTTCTTCAATAAAATACTAGATAAGATTTTCGAAATTATGATGTCGCAATTCCTAGACTAAATTATAAGAGATTCTTAATGAAAGAACTGTTATTGAAATTGATAAAATTCAGCTTTCAATACTGAATTCGAAATGAATTAGCTTGAAAATATTCTACTAAATATAAAAGTGGCAAAATTTTGAATTCTCTTGATAATAATCAAATTTATTGTTTCTTACTTTCAGAATCCTTTCCCTATCGTTTCATGTTTAATTCTATGAAAAAATCTACACCTTTTTCTTTTTTTGTATTTCATGTATCTGATATCATTAACTCGAAATTCAGGTATGACGTTTCATGCAGTAGTCTTTTCAAATAGATTTTCTTGATTTTGATCTGTTCGTATAAATGAGAAATCATTAAACGACTATTGATTATCTTTTCATCGAGAAAATTTCCTTAGGTTAAACTCATGTGTACGAATGTGTTTGATTATATTGATTCAACATGACGAATTATTCATTTATTTTTCGATAGGATTACTACAATTTGATTACATTTTGATTATTATTGAGAAAATCATAGAAATCATCATATAGGAAGATATATTCATTTTTACTTTAAAAATTTCATAATTATGCAGGACTAAAACTATTTGCTAGTGCATTTAACCATAATAATTTTTTTTTCGTATTGTATTGTAGAAAGCGGCTCGTGTTTTTTCATAGAAATCATGTTCGAAAATAAAACTTGTAGAACTCGAAATAATCTATCAAATCACATATGAAACATGATTTACTATCAAATGATGCAATAAGATACTTCGTTAAAGGTTTTTCAATACATCCCGATTAGACAACAAAATCAAGTTTGAAACCAATCAATTATAAGGCAAGTGTGAAGTGAAGAAGAAATTCGAAGCATTCTACGACACATTTCAACGATTGTTGATACATACGAGATTTACAATCGTTTTTATGAATGTATTATATGTTAGTCATCGCATTAGGCTTACAATTTTGTTTTTTTTTTGCGTAGTTTATAATTAGATGTAGATGTAGTTGACAATAATCAAAGTTTAAATTTATTTATAGATAATCTTGAATATTGATTATGTTCTTTTCTCCAATTGAAAGTATAACTTACTCAACTAATATATTTTCTTTGTAGAAAACGACGTTTTTTAATCAATAAGATTATGTTTACTTAGGGCGTACCAAAAGTTCGTGTCCCGCTATTTAAAGGGCCTCATCGGATGGGTGAACCGATTCAGAAATAAGAAACAAATATATCATCTTGTAGAGCTTTTCGAGCCGCATCGAATGGTATATAGTAAATCGTGTTTTCATAGAACTTTGAAAAACCTAGAGTCAATTTTCTGATAGATGGCTACACATTCACAACCATCCATATCGGCATCCATACCCGAGGACCATAAGTTAATGATTATTGTGGTTCTTGTTATTAATTGAAAGCATTTGTAAAATATTGTTTCTTGCATGTGACTTTGTAGAGGTTTTGACGGGCTACAACCTCATATACGTACCATCTCCGGTCATCTTGTGAATGTAGACGTGAGTGTGGATGGGTGTGAATGTGTAGTCGTCCATCAGTAAATTGTCTCTAGGTCCTTCACAGTTCTATGAAAACAGAATTTACTATATACCATTCGATGCGGCTCGAAAAGCTCTACAAGATGATGTATTTGTTTCTTATTTCTGAATCGATTCACCCATCCGATGAGGCCCTTTAAATAGCGGGACACGAACTTTTGGTACGCCCTAAGTAACTTTCTATAGTTGCATTTGTTTTTTTGTTTTTTACAAGAAACATTTCTATTCTTAAAGTATTATGACTTTATTTTTGACATGTTGACAGATCATTAGCGTTACTAATATACTACTAACTATTATTTAGTATCGATAATTTACCATAATAAGTTGTAAATATGTCCTGTGGAAAACCAGAATTATTGAAGAATAGAAAGACTTTTTGAGAACAAAAATAGAAAACAAAATGCAGATTTAGAAAGTTATGTATAATCTTATTGCTTAAAAACGTCATGTTTTAGAAAGAAAAAACAATATATTTATTGAATAAGTTATATAATTTTATGCAAAATTCTACGGTGAATCTTTTAGAAAAAAAAAACCTAAATGATTGAAACTAATCGAGATACGAGTAAAATACTGATCGAATATTTTTGATAGTTGATTATAGTCTCAGATCGATGTTATATTTATTAATGCATCATGAGTTAATTTTCTTACTTTTTTTTTCTTTAAAAAAATAAAACCATATATATTCACTTGATCGAATAAGTATTAATCTGAAAATAAATTTTATGTTGTTAATAAAGTATACCGTCGGATCAGATCGTAAATCTCTCTGTTCTTTACATTTCATTTTCAATCGAATAGGAAGATAGAATAAGAAATTCTATACATTACTATTCATTTATTTTATTTTATTTTTCCTGAAGCCAAAAAAAAAAAAAAAACCTTTCGTAGATTAAATAATGTTAAGAAAATCTATCATATCGAAGTATTTTGAATAATAACGATGATATTCGTCAGTTTTTATATTGAATTGATAATAGAAAAATTACGAACATCATATTTATTATTCGAAACTTTTCAAAATGATAAATTCTTCTTACGAGGGAAGATCACCAACTGTTCAATCGCTTTTTAGTCGGAACTATGTGCATCATGTAGGTCCTAATGAGCTATGAATACCCTGAAAAGAGTTCGGGCGGCTAGCTTATTATTGTCGAGATACTGCATTTTTATGGTATTTTTAACTAAGCACAATGCCGTAGTCCCCCTCAGGAACCAGAAAAACTGAGTTTCGAGTTTTGACTTGAAACTTTGTATAGAAACAGACCTCAGTGAGAGTAGTTTATTGTGAAAGTTTCAGGCCTTTTGGTTGTTCCTATCCTAAGATACAGCTAAAAAGGGTGTTTTTATACTGCTCGGATACCCTCGACAGGTTCCGATGTGCTTATTTCAGAATAGGAGCAACCAAAAGATCTGAAACTTTCAAAATAAGCCACTCTCATTGAGGTCTGTTTCTGTGCCAAACTTCAAGTCAAAATTCAAAACTCAGTTTTTTTGGTGCTCCTGAGGGGGACCACGGCGTTCTGCTAACAATATCGTAAAAATGCAGTATCTCGACAGTAATGGGCTAGCCGCCCGAACTCTTTTCAGGGTATTCATAGCTCATTAGGACCTATATGTTGCACATAGTTCTGACTCAAAAGCGATTGAACAGTTGGTGACCTTCCCTCGTTAGATTAGCTAATCTATTTGAATTGTTTTTGACTTCAACAAAATAAATAAACAGAAGTATATAGAATTTTATGTTCTATCTTCCTATTCTATTAAAAATAAGATATAAAAGGATAGCAGATTTACAAACTTATCTAATGCTGTTCTTTATTGAGTTTAAATCGTTTACAGTCTTTTTTTTCTACTTCTGAATCAGTTTCTTTTTTTGAATATTTTAAGATTATTTATCTTCTATTTCTTTTATAATAGTTTAATAGCAAAAAAAAAAAGAAAAAAACTCAAATTTACATACATTCGTCTCATACAATTTCAAACTATCTATCTATAATATCTTGTCATTTAAATAATTTTTATCGATTGATACACGTACATATCTTAAAAAAAAACAAAAATTCAATTAAGTTTTATATATTGATTGAAATGTTTCCGAACTACGCCATTTCATATCTTCATCATGAACATTTTTATACATTTGTCGTAAATTTGATGTTGTTGTTAATACACTTAATATTAATGAAAAAAACATTATTATAATAATTGAAAAAATAATTAATGTTATTATTAATGCAACTTTTCTATAAACAACAACTCGATTCATACGTTGTCGATTTGCAGCTAATACAGCATTAACATCAGATAAAAATGAATAAAATATACTATCATATGGTACTTTACATTCTTTACTAAAATAATAAAGTAAATATTGTAAAACAATTGGTTCTGTACCAAGACCAGCATAATAAATACCATCATTTGGTCGAACATGTGATACATTATAACGTCGAGTATGTGTTGCATCAATAGGTAATTTAAAATGACGTACAGGTGTAAAATCTGTTCGATATTGTATAGCACGAATTTGATCTTCAGCACGTTTTAATTCACGTCTCATTTGAAAAAAAAGATACCAATCTCGTATTGGTTTATCAACACCAGATACACGTCTAAGATCACCCATACAACGAATTCTATGTATATTATTACGAACTATAATCCATTTCGATCGTGGAGATATTGAATGATATGTACTTGGTGCTTGATAATCATAATCGGAAAGTAATGGTGCTGTTGTCGATGGTTTTGTTATAGATGAAGGTGAATCAATAACTACATGAGCTTCTCTTTCACGTCGAGGAATTTTGCGTGAGAGCAATCTTGAACGATGTGACATGTTTACCTTAAATTAAAAAGATAGAAAAAAAAAATTTTTTTTACAATCATTTTTATTTTTACTCTATAATCTGAATGTCTTTATACGTATGAGTATTTAGACAAAGAACAATATTAATCCGTGTTATTTTATTGATAAGAAGAAAATTAACATAATACATTAAGACTTTGTTTTAGATTGTAGAAGATTTTGTTGAATTTATTTCTTTTATTCATTTTAGTTTTTTTTCGAAATATTACAAAAAAAAAAAAAAGAGAAAAACAAATATCTATATAATTTAAATTGAGAAAAATACTAACTTAGTTCAATATGAACCTATTTGATATTTAAACGATAAAATGCTTCTTTAATTAACATTTTTCAAAAAAACAAGAATATAATTTCGATTAGAAATATTTCTTTTTCATGATATCAAAAGTTATAAACGTAGTTTTGAATGAATCATTTAATTATACATTAACCATGAATCGATTACATAATGATAATGTATATTTGATATGTAAAATGAGTCGATGTCATCCTTAAGCAAATATGACTCAAGTATTCCATGATAATATTGTTAAAAATATGCTGTCCTCTTTAAATTCCTACTTGTCTAACATTACAATTACAAGTTTTAATCGAATCAAAAATTCACTAAAGAATATTAAATTAATGATTGTTAAAATACACATATCACATATAAAGTAAACATCAAGTATTGAATAGAACATGTAATTCTATTTCTAACAAAATTATAGTTGTTTTTCTTTTCTCTTTAGAAAAAAAAACCTTGAAAAATTTCAATAATCTTCGAAAGATTTTTTGTAGAAAAATTCAATTCAATTATTGACTGAATAGTTAGAATAAATCAGCATTTATTTACTATGAGATTAATATATATACGTACTTCACAATGATATCTATATTTATCATACGGATAAGAAAAATTGTAATATAAATCGAGTGTAAAACTATATTCAATTGATTATTAGTTTTATGTATTTCAATTCATTTATATTCTACTAGTTTTATTGGAGTATGAAGTGTCGAGAAAGAAAAAACATAGATATCCAACAATAAAATTAGTATATATATATTATCAATAACAAACCTTTTTTTTCTGTTCGACTATTATTCTTTTCTTAGTATATCAATAAAAAGATAGTTCAATACACTTAATAAACTGTATTTTATTAGAATAATAATTTAAAAAGTATGTTTCTAAATGGTTTCTTTCCAAATTTTTTTGTAGTAAAATAAATGTTGTTAATAACAACAACAACAAAAAAAAAATCATTTTATTGTCATTAAATAGACATCAACATACCTGTCTGCGTCAATAAACATACTATGCCAATATAACAGAATAAAGCCAGTATTTGTCTTTTTTTTAGTTGACGAGAAGAAAGAAAAAAAAAAAACTAATAATAATTTGCTGCTTCTCCTTTCATCACATAGAGAAAAAAAAAAAAACTATATTTTATCATTGATGTATATGTATATTATTATATGATATGCGTGTGTAATATTTCTCTTTAAATAATCCAATGGGAAAGTTAAGTTAATAACAGAACAAATTTTCTTGAAGTATATTTAGATTTATTAATTGTTCGAATATTATAATTGATTAATAAGCGAACCAAAAAGCACTGTATAGATAGTACAAACAAAAAAAAACAAAGGATTATGATAACGTCAGAGTTTATTTAGTACATAAACGTATATAATCATATACCAAAAATGAAAGTTTGACATGTAAAAATCTAATTATATTTCGATTGATTCAGACAAATACAACAAAAAAAAACCTTGATAAACAAAGAAGTTTTTAGTTTTTTTTTTTTTTTGGTATTATGAAATTTGGTTATTGCACAATAGTTTGACTCATTATTAGTGTACAAAATACAATGAAAACAATTCTTTTTTCGTTTTATTAATATTCACCTACGTAAAAAAAATATGAAAGACGCCATAGTTATTTTAGGTGGTGCTTTCAATCCAGTACATACACAACATATAGATTTGCTTTGTCATACTAAACAAGAACTTGAACGTAATGGTCAATGGAATATTATAGGTGGTTATTTAGCTGTTGCATCTGATGGTTATGTTTGTCATAAATTATGTTCACGAAATGAACGTACAATTAAACTAAAACATCGTTTAGCACTTATTCATGAAGCAATTAAAGATATACCATGGTTAATAAATAGTCCCTATCAAGAAGAAATGTTAAAACAACATGATGGTTCTGCATTTGCACTTGGTCAACGTTTAAAACGTCTATTAAAAAACGATAATATTCAAATTTTAATTCTTGTTGGTGGTGATCGAATGATAAAAAATGGTATTCCAATTTGGCGAAAATCATCGAATAAAATACCTATTATTCGTATTGGTATTGAACGAACAATGAATAATAATAATAATAATAGTAATAACTTATTTCAATTTTGGCAAGATGATTTGAATAAAAATCTTATTCCAAATCCCAACGAATTTATTCTACTAAATCTACCTATTCGATCTGTTAGTTCATCACTTATTCGTACATATCTTGATCAATGGTTTAATACAAAAGAAGATTCAAAAAAACAATTCGAAATAGAGAATGATTTAATCAATATAAATTCGTTTCTTCATTCATCTGTTATGAATTATATAAAAAAATATCAAGATGATTTATACATTAATATTTGAATATTCATTCTCTAGCATATATATACGTATATATATATAATAAATCAAAAACAAAAATAATAATAAAATTGTACATGAAAAACGAAAAAAAATAAAATAAAATTATTAAGACTCTACACCTTCAGCTCGATTAAGATTTTTATTCAATGATTTTGTAGCTATTTCACTCCTAAAATAATAAGAAAAATCATATATATATATATAAATAAATGATTTATTAACATACATCATATCAATAACCCAGTCACGAAAAAATGGTAATAATTGATCATCCATTGCTGGAAGAACAAGAAGACGCTGACAAATAAAAAAAAGAACAAATTATTAATGTTTTTTTTTTTCATTAATTCTAATTAATCTTACTTTGATTTCATCTCGAATTTGAGATTCAAGAAAATCATGAATTAATGTATATGAATATTTACTTTCACCAAAGACTGGAGTTACTTTAAGATTTAAATCTGGCATTTCAGAAAAGCCAATCCTATAAAGAAAAAAAGAAATATTTGCAATAAAATAATAACTTTTTATTTTATTTTTTTCTTACCATATACGATCACTTGGTGGTGGTGGAATGTTAATCTTATGTATAAAAAAAAAATAATATAAATTGAAATTTATATCGAAATTAATTTACTGTCATAATTCCATTAAAATTCATTAATTCAATATTTGCACCAATATCAGCATTTGATAATTTTTCTATTACTCCGGCAACAGGTTTTAAAGCAGCAAATCGTTGAAAATGTTTATTACCAGCTACTTTTGTTAATATTAAACCTAATTTTCTTGCAGCAGCACTAAATATATATATATATAAATAGGACAGATAATATATCGAAATAATTACTTTTCTGGTATATCAGGATCTTTAGTTAATAATTTTTGTCGTTGAACAGAATCTTCGTTTTCTGTATGTTCATCATCTTTATATATAATTTGACCTGAACGATGTTGATAATACATTGATGGATCACTAGTTGTATGTGTATTTGTATTTGTATTAAGTAATCGTTGAAGAAATATATGAGTTCGAATTGTAATTCTAAACAAAGTAAAAAAACAAATAATAATTTAAATTTCAATTATAAAAGAATGAGTACTTGTATTTTTTTTTATTCCTATGTAATACGTTCTATATTAAGATTTCTGATACGATGTTTTTCATATTTCAAAGTATTTTAATAGAACTATTTTCTTGTGATGTTTTTTTAATTTTTTTTTCTCTTTTAACGAAAGATTGTAGAAAATAAGATGATCGTTCATTTAGTTTAGAATTTTGTATTCTGTTACAATGTCATTATTAACAAAAAAAAAAATACCTTCGAGAAAGTCTATTGAAATCCGAAAGTGCTACTAGCTATTTAAGACACGAACGGAAATTGAGCTAATTAGTGAATATTATAGAAAAACAACAAGAAGTATGTTCTTATTGTTAAAAAGAAATTTTTTTTTCCATTATCCTACACTTATTAATATAGAAACAAGACGATCTGATCATTTTTCAAATAGTTCGATTGACATTTCTTCATGATGAGGGAATATTACATTGTACGGAATGGCATTTTTATTCGATTTAATTCACATGAGATAGTTATGAATAGAATAAGAAAAATCTCAAAGGATATAGTCTAATGTGAATTCTTTCAATAGATATGAATATTTTCATTTGTCTATTAAGGGAAAAATAATATTATGTCAAAGTCATATAATTCTTGAGAGAATTAATAATATTTACTTTTTATTTGACATTTTCTTTTAAGTGTTTTTCGAATAAAAAAAAATCTAGATGTAAATTCGAAATTTATTAAAAAGATTATATTGATAAATTATTTTAATAAAAATGAACATATCTTTGTCGAAATATTCACTTCTTGAATAAACTAAATATAATCAATGACTATTATTTTTTTTTTGCATATTAACTGATTAGAATAACTTTTCTTATTCATAGAAATAATAAATATTAGTAATAGATATGAACGAAATCGAGATTAGAAAATAAATTTGTTTTTATTTTGATAATTAAACTTACTTGAAACTACCTCGATAGAAAAGAAATAAATTAAACCAAAGTCCTTTATTATTCCATTGCATTGGTTCAACTTTAAGAATAATAGGAAATGTATTACCCATATCAATTGTTTCAACACGTAAATCTTCAAGTACACTTACCTAAATATATATAAAAAAAATTCTTGTATTTGTTTGTTTTTCATAAGAAGAAGAATTTTTAAAATTCTTACTTACAGCAAGTTCTTTTAATTTAAGTTCAATTTTTTCTTTTAATAAATCTTTAAATAATGATTCTTGAAAAACATCACAAAAAAGTCGACGTACAAGAAAATTTAATGTTATAGCTGCTTCATTAAGACAATCAGATGACTGAAGTATACGATGAAGATTTTCTTGTTGTTTACGAAATTTTTTTTTTAATGAACCACTACGTTGTAAATTAAATGAATCTTTATCTGAATCTTTATCATTTAATTTTTTATCTTTTTCTAATATATCTGCACGTAATTCTTGAGCACCAATACGAGCTTGTGTCATATCACTAACAATATCATTTTCATTTATTTGACTTCGAAGTATTTCTGTTTGATTTTTTTCTAATGATGATATTGATGATGTTGTTGATATTGTATCAAAATAAGGTGATCCAATTGGTTCATTAGATTTTTTTTGTCCAAGACTATCAATATTAATTGTATTAGATTGTTTTGAAGTAGTACGAGAACTTATTGTTGGAATTTGTGTATCAGAAATACTTGGAGTCATTGAACGAGATATTGATGAAGAACTTTGTGAAATTGTTGATGTATTTATTAATGGTTGATGAGTATTTTCAGTTTCTTCTTTGCTTTTACGTGAAGCAAATAATAATCTAAATTTTAATAAAAAAAAAAAAAGAATAAAAAAAATTTTTAGACAATAATAAAAAATATTTATATACTTATAAAACCAATCTTCTTTATCAGGACATGTATCAAAGAAAATACTTAATGTTGTTTGAGAATTATTAAAAAATTCATCAGTATCAAATTTTGATTTTTCATAATTTTGTTTATTAGTTATTTCTTTATTTAATATTTGAATATTTTGTATTACAATAGGATAATCATTTACCCAATATTTTATACGAGATAATGTAGCTTCAGGAACAAGTATTAATTTAGCATCTAATATTAAAAGAAAACAACAACAACAACATTATTTTAAATTATTCTTAATATTTTCATTTTTTTATCCATATAGGAAGATACATGTCTATATCATATAATCAAAATTTACAGATCCAGCTAGTCCTGTAGGATAAAACAAGCATACATTAGAGATGTCCATCGAGGTCGAAAGTTCACCGGGACGGTTTTCCAAAAAATCTACCGCGGCGATGTTCAAGAAATTTTGTTGACTTTGAACCTTATGATTTGTCCGAACAGGAATAGCTCCTAGTAGTTGGTCAAATTTTTTGAGTCTTGCTACATAGCGGATATAAATACTGAGGTTCCTTGAAAATTTCTTCCTAAGAAATCAACGGCTGTCGCGACGGTATTTAAAAAATCTCTCCGCGCCGCGATGATTTTGCAAAAAATCTACCGTTACCAGTGTGGCGGCCGTGTTGGCACCGCCATGGACATCTCTGACATACATATACAAGATAGGCCAAAAGTCATCGGGGCAGTCTTTTATTATGAAAAATTTTTTGATAGGAAAAATATAGAGAGCTGCGATTTTTATCATTCAAAAGAAAAGATGAAGATGCATAGGACAATATAATATACGATGGTTTTTACTTAGGTTTTTTTGAAGTACGTAAACTGACGTTTTTGAAAACTAATTAACCCGATTTCTCTATTAACATCTGTAACAAAAAAATCAAAGACTATCCCGTGACTTTTAGACTATCTTGTATATGCATATTCTAATGATATCGTGCCTAAATTAAATAACTTTTTTTTTTGATTCAGATGAAATTTTTATTAATTTCTAAATAAATTACCTTTAATTAAATATTCTCTTTGACCAACAAATCCAATTTCTTTATCTTTTTTTTCTTCTGTTTTAGCTTTTGTTGGTAATTGAATAATAAGATGATCATTATCAAGACTCATAACAATTGGATAGCGTATAAATTGTTCATCTTGATCAGGATCATATTGACCAAAAACAACTTCACAACATATCTAGAAAATAAATAAAATAGTTGTTTTGATTTTTTTTTTATTTATATTTTTAATTGAAATCTTACAGGTAAACTTTTATATTTATCAATTTTAGTTATTTTTTCTTGAAGTACAGATTCTAATTCTGGAAAATCTATCCATTCATATGCATTTAATTCATCAGATTTTGTATTAAGATACATTCGTATAATAATATAAGCAATTGATGAAGCACATATAAAACCAAGTATAAAACCACTAATTAATGGTGATAATGGTTTCCATAATATAATTATTATTGATATAATACCAACAATAAACTAATAAATAAAAAAACAAAATGAAATTTATTTTTTTAATACTACTCTACATACAGATGTTGGATAAATTGTATCACGTATAAAATTTGATTCTGATTCAATAGTATGTTGACGAAATTTTGGTCCAACTAATAACATAGTTAATTTTTGTTTATTTTTATCATTATTAACAATATTTGATTTATTTATTGTTTCAATTGAATCAGGTTTTTTAATAACATTATCATCTGAACCAGTTTCACTAAGTGCTCCACTATAACTACGATGTATACCTTGACGTACATTATTCATAAGCATATCTTTTGCTCGTTCACTATTTTCTGTTGAAAATATATCTTGAAATGAATCACTTTGTACAGGTTCTATGATTGGAACAGTTGATGTTTCATTTGTTGATTTTTTTGTAACGACTGTTCCTAATGGAGATGCTGAAAATGAACGTTCTGTAATCGAACCATCATCACCTATTTAATTAAAAGATATACATATGAGATATTTGTTGTTTTTTGTCTTCTCAATGATTAAAAATTAATCAATATCGAAAACAAAAAAAAAAAGAAAATATCCAGAATATCCATGATACTATATGATAGAGATTTATTATTAGATGAATGTTGATAATATCCAGAGTTATTTTGAAATAACCTTACTTAGCAAGATACTAAGAAAATAATTGTTTTCTTGAATACAACTGACAGATCTAGGTCAATATTCTTCTAATTCTATATTGTTTCATTCGAACTCATCAATTATATTTTAAATCTATTTCAATAATCATTATTAATTCATTTTTCTTAATTCTATTCTTGTTTAAAGTTATTTACATATGAGTTTTTATGATTATTTATTATTGATTGAAAATTAATAATTGATCTTTTTGCCTTTTTTTTTTATCAATAATACTTTCTGAGCAGGAAAAAAAAACAGAACATTTTGATTAATTGGAAAGGTTTTTATATATAAAATACAACGTGTCGAACTTTACGATTTATTGTTGCCCTTTATGATACATTATTTTATAATGTAGTTTTTAAACGTGATTGGAATCTAAATTTCAATACATTTATGATTTTATTTTGAGACAACAAATAATTAATACATATCGATTTGAATTTGAATTAATAGCATCTAGCCTTGAATTTCAAGAGAGAAAAATTGAGATTTAGCCATTTTCAGACTGTTTAATGTGCATTAGATGGCTCCATGCGAGTCCATTCATACTCATTAATTGATCTTTCAAGGTGGGTGGTCTGAAACAATAACTAATCATAAAATTCTCTTAAGAAATATAGAAATTCGACATATTCAATTGAATCTGTTATATTAAGCTAATTATATAAGAAAAGCAAAAGAGTATAATAGATATCTATCAAATAGATATTTGACACATCTTTAATATGTCATATTTAATAACAATATATCCAATATGATACATTTTATTTTAGTATCTATATACAAATAAATCCTATCGAAATTCTTGCCATGATGATGAAGAAACAATAAAATATATTTTTATGTAAAAATATTTCATATATATTTCAAATTATTCATTCATTAATTTTTTTTTTTTTGTAAAACTATATGGGTTATCTGCGTCTTTTCTTTTTTCAATCAAAACTTGTATTATTTTGTGAATAGAATAGAAACAATGAAAAAAAAGAAAAAGAAAAACAGCTGGAAATGTAATAATATTTAATGTATTTTTATCAGATGAAATTTATTAATCTTTAACATCTTACCAGAAGCATGTCTTTGACGAATTTCAATTGGTGTTGATGATTTTTTTTCAATAATTAATGAATCTTCTGCTTGATTTGCACGTGAAATAAAATGTATCTGATTATTAATAGCATTATTATGTGATTGTTTACGACGTTCAATATTATCAGCAATATCTTCTTTAATAGTATTTATTTTTTGTCCAAGTTTTTCAAAAACACTACTTTTTTTTGTTTGTTCTTGATTATGTGTAATCATATTAGTTGTATTGGCAATATTGCCAAATGTTGATAATGAAGGTATTTCAGATAAACGACGATATGTATTTGTCTAGAATCATAAGGGAATAATATATAATCAGAATTTTGTATTATTACATCTGACAAAAGAATGCTATAAGAAAGAAAAAAAAAAAGAATAGTATGACAGAGAGAAGAAGAAAAAAAGAAGGAGAGGAAGTAGACGAAGCAAAGCAAAAAATAATAGGAAAAAAACAAACAATGTTGTCGATACATGATTGGTTGCAATAACAAGTATTCGAATTGTTTATAGAAGGGTGTATGATGATCATCATATGTATAACGATACATTTCATAGAAAGAAAAGTGTATAATGTAAAAATGAGCGATAATTCAGGCCTTCATGTTTTCATTCTTGAAAGTTAATCATATAGTATATATGATGATTATAAATAAAAGTGTTATAATTATATATATTACTATTTCTTTCCAAAGAATTATAATAATAGAATTTAGCTTGATGTTATTTTACTTTTGTAAATAAACGACGAATTCGTTCCATAATTATCATATATAATTAATAATATCGTAATAAATTAAGTATGTCTATAATTCGTAAAACTTTACTATCAGAATATGAATAGTTTTATGACATTTTTAATAAAAAGATATAAAACGCGCAAATAAATGAAATATTTCTAGAAAAATTTATTTAAAAGAAGGAAAAAACAATATATTACCAGCTGACATTGTTTATTTCGTGAGTTTACTTGAATCTAATATTGGACGATGCTAATTCAATAGATGGCGCCAACTATCATTGACATAATTTTTTTTAAATTCCAAAAAACAAATTTAGCTTTGGAACTTGCAGGTTTTTCTTTTAATGAGAACGGGTACAATGAAAATCTTTATGCTTTTATTGTGCCATGTAACGAACACTTGTTTTTCAAAAATAAATCGACAGAACGAATGTCCATACGGTTGATTTTTTATGGAACTCACGTCGATTTTCGAAGAAAATAGTGAGTGTAAAGTTTGAATCGAGATTTTACAATTCTTCTCAGCTCCTAGCAGCCTGGGTTGAAGCTCATGGAAGATAGTGAACATCAGATTCCTGTTCAAGGTTTCATTAGAAACTGAAAAAAGCGCCAAACGTTATTAACAACGTGAGATGGACTGTTCTAAACTATTTCAAAGCCTTATTTGAAATTTTAATGGCTAGAATATGTTTGTAAATGTTCTAAATAGTGTAGTTTATGAATTTTCTGTGCAAATGAATAGTCACTTGGAAGATATCAAGAATGATAGGAAGTGATACATCGATTTGTCACAATTGCCATATGCAGGGGCCGCAGCAGGGAGGTACGAAGAAGAAGAATTTTGAGAAGGAATTTTTCAAAAAAAAGAAGGAGTTTTCCGGAATAGTGCGCTGCAACGAATGGATTTTGTACGACATCCAATAAGAAACAATACGATTGAGCCTAAGGGAGTAAAATAATTTTCAAATTATTATTTTGTCACGTTTCACGAACATTCTTCTGGTTTTATAGCGAATAATAACAGAGAACGAATTTCAAAGGCGAGCAGTTGTCTCCTTGGTCGTGCGACGTGCATGAATGTTGTTGTCATCCCCATGTTTCAATGACTCTCTCGGTAGTTTTACAGATCATGCACACCCTCACCGACATGCATTGCTATGATGTGTAGCGATCACAAAAATTCGTATATGATCAATCTATCCATTAACAGAGTGCCAGAGATATGTGGCACCATCTTCGCTCTGTCCTTGAAAACGAAGTGTCACGCACAGTGGCTACTTCTACCTGTCACTTTTACACTAGTGGGACAAAGATTTAGCCTAAACACATCATTCCGTCACCGAGATGTGACAAGTTGAAGATGATTCGAAATTAAGCTGACTGGTTAATTTACCTCTTAATGTCGAAAGGTGAATTAAACTCGAAATCATCTTTCAACTTGTAACAAAGTGTTTTCCGTCATTCGATATTTCTGACATATCCCGTTTAGATTGAGATCAGGGGTCTAAATGGGATGAAAAAATCATCCCATGGGCCCACTTAATCTGTTCCATCCCATCCCATGGGACAAACCGTCTAATCAAAACATCTTTTTACTCCATGATTCGACTTCTATGACTTTCTTATTCAATCATCTCAGTTTCTCTTAACCACTTTCCGTTTACATCAGTTAATTGTCATTTAGTTTTTTTATACTAAGTTCATAAACCCTACTGCTTTGTTCAACAACAAAAATGCGGATATCTAAGACCTTACGAACCTACCAGTCGGAGCTCTGATTGAGATACCTTACGACTTCTTTGATCGGGATACGCTTTTCAGGTTTCTCGTTCTGAATGGGATCCCTGTGTGATTTTTGTGTTCTCCATCAAGTTGAGTTAACTGGATAAGTTTCCAGTTTCTCGATCAATATGAAGTTCAATTGTCACTTATGAATTCTTCGACCGGAAAAGTCCAAAGTCGCCTCTGAAACTCCAAACCGAACGAAAAACTTGAAAACATATTAAGAGCTATAGTTCCAGTAGAGAAGTTCAAAATCATGTCTGGAACTGATTTACCAAATTAATTTGCGTAGAAAGTTGAACGTTGATTTTGAGTTGAGTTGAAATAAACGTACTTGTACCACCCCCATTTCCGTGTATAAGCACTGTCAGTGAGTATTAATGAATGTTAGTTGCCTTTCTGCTTTTGTTCATCAATAACGACACCAATAAAACTGCGTCTTTTGTTATACTAAGCAACAATTTGTACTTGTTGTGTACTAGTGAAGTCACAGATCACGGGTGTGTCAGAGCTAATGACAAACAAAAACACTGAAGAAATGACCAGCAACAGTGATCAAGAGATGATCGATGCTACTTTCTTATAAATTTTATGAGCAGTTGTAGAACAGCACAAATATTCTACTGAGGATAATAATTCTGTTTACTAGTGTAATTTTGTAACTAAAGAAAATAGTTGAAAAATTTTGTTGAACAAATTGGATCTTTGTGTTTTCATTCGTTTGCCAATAGTTGTTTTTAAATCTACAATAGAGAATAAATCATTGACTCTACTTTTTTTTATACAATAAAATGTTCATCATATATTTTTGCCAATATTTAGCAATCACAGTAACTTCATCTTGTTCACCTAATGTCGATGTTGGAATTTCAAATACAATCTGGACTATGACAAATACCATCAGTAGCCTACGTACTTGAAGAATATTTTTATAGACATTATTACAAAGCGATTTCATGTCATTTGCAATTAAAATCCGGTATTATCCAATTTATTCGTACATAGTGGATGTATTGGTTTATGTCAGCGACACGCAGATGTCGATCAATGGAGACTTCGAGACGGACTCATTATAGTCTCAGGTGAAAACAGAACCAAATGGATCTTGCAGTATGTATCCAGGAACAGTAATGAACTTATTCGGTGTATTTCAAATGGGTAACTATGATTTATTGACTAGAAATCTAGAATGTTATCACTATTAACCGGAATATATGCACATATTTTTATCACTTGATTGTCGATTACATAAAATACACACTTTTCACGACAAACTCAATTGAAAATTTATTCTAACAAAATGATATTGCTGGTTTTTCTCGTAAAAAAAACAAAAATTAATATAAGATCGTATATCAAGGTCTCATACAGGTTTTAACGGTGAATTTGATAGTGCTATCTATGTTATGTGTTAGGTTTAACTTTA